TTTTTTTTTTTTTTTTTTTTTTGACAGTTTTTCTCTCAGCATATTGAAGATATTATTCCACTGTCTTCTGGATTTTACTGATGCCATTGAGAAATCAGCTTTCAGTCTAAAAGTCATGGTTTTAAAGGTAATCAGCTTTTTTCCCCCATCTGCTTTTAAGATCTTGTTTTTGTCTTTGGTATTCTGCAACTGAAAGTTCCTGGATGGCACAAACGGTTAACTATTAGCTGAAAGGTTAGCAGTTTGAACCCACCCAGAGGCACCTTGGGAGACAGGCCTGGTGATCTGCTTGTGAAAGGTCACAGCCTTGAAAACCCTATGGAGCAGTTCTACTCTGCACAGGGGGTTGCCGTGAGTCAGAATTGACTCAATGACAACCGACAACAACATTCTACAACTTAAGTATGATGTGTCTAAATGTGGACTTAATTCTGTTCTTCCTCTTTGGCATTTGTGGGGCTTCTTGAATTTGTGGATTTGTATTTTTCATCAGTTCTATAAAGTTCTCAGTATCTCTTAAAATACTGCCACTGACTCATTATCTCTGTCTTCTCCCTTTGGGATTGCAATTAGATTTTCTTTAGACCTTCTTACTCTATCTTCCATGTCTTCTAATTTTTCAAAACTTGAAATTTTCTATTTTTTTGTACTTCGGTGCTGCATTCTGGATACTTTAGTTCTATTTTGCAGTTTACTAATTATCTGTCCTGCCATAGCTCATCAGCTGTTAAATACATTTAGTGAACGTTTTTAAGATTTAAAAATTGTGAAATCTGACATGTGTACATGAAGGTGCATAAAACATCAACATACAGGCTAACATATAATTATAAAGTAAACACACCTTTAATGAATACTCAGGACATGTACCCCAGCCTCCATGTGTCCATCCCCAGTCACAGTCCCCTTCTTCCACCCTAGCAGAAACCACTATCCTAACATTTATGGTATTAACTTCCATGCTTTTGTTTATAACTTTACTGCCTGTGAGTGCATCCCTAAACAGTATCATTTGTGTTTTTCGAGGCTGTCGTTAATTTTCATTGCTGTGTGGTATTATATTGTATGAATATGCTACCGTTTACTTGCACATTCTACTACCAAACCAAACCCACTGCCGTTGAGTTGATTCTGAGTTATAGCGACCCTGTAGGACAGAGTAGAACTGTCCTATAGGGTTTCCAAGGCTGTAAATCTTTACAGAAGCAGACTGCCACATTTTTCTCCCATGGAGTGGCTGGTAGGTTTGAACTGCCAGCCTTTCCGTCCGCAGCCGAGCATTTTAACCATTGCACCACCAGGGCTTCTTATTGATATGTAGGAGGTGGCTTGTTTCTAACTGTTGGCTGTTAGGAACATAAGTGTATCTGTCTCCGGGTGCACATGTGCACATTTCTCTGTGGCAATATAGCCAGGAATGCCATTGCTGGGCCACATGGTATGCATGTCTTCAACTTTAAAATACTGCCAATTGCTTTTCCAAAGTGGTTGTATCAATTTACTCTCCTACTAACTGTGATTGAGAGTTCCTATTACTCCATATCCTTGCCAACACTTATTTTTGTTAGTCTGTCTAACTTTTGCCCATCTGGTAGTTGTGTAGGGTTATCGTATTGTGTTTTTTTCATTGAGGTATGATTGTCATGCGATGAAATACATAGAACCAAGATGTTCATTACAATATAATCACTTCTGGCTTGCCACGGGGAGATTTTCAGATCTCAAACTGTCATGAAGGTGCTGACAGTTTCAAAGAAGAAACGGAACAGAGAGTCCACCTGATCTGGCCCCACCTACCTCTCCTAGCTCATCACCCTCCACTCCACCCCTGGTTCACTGTGTTCCAGTTCATTTTCCTTAGAGATGAGGAAAATGAGACTCAGAGAGGTTGATTAACTTGCCCAAGGCCACATAGTGGTAGAGCCAGGATTTGAACTGGGCTCTATCTTGAAGGCAGTGCTCGCCATGAGGGATTCATTCTTACAATAGAATGTTCCACCCTGGCCTATCAGCTCTGTGAGAGCAAGGAATGTGTCTGTCTCTACCACATGGTGGGCACTCAGTAAATACATATTGAATGAATGAACGAACTTGTTAGAATGCAAATATCCCTGCCTACTCTCTGATCTCCCCGGGAGTAGCAACACAGCAAGCTGTATTGGGTAGGGTAAGTTAGTTTATTCTATACTTTGCAACAACAGTTCTCTATAAAATGAAACCCACAATTGATAAATCTTAGAAGAGACAATAGGGGAGAGGTCCAAAGGCCTGTGTAAATGGACGCACATATGCATATGTCTCGTAATAGAGTGAAGCCATAAAGTGTCCAAATCTCTTAGATTTGCAGCTCACGGAAGTACCCATTTGACGATTTCTTGTTTCCCACTGCAGGCGGAATACCCAAAGAGCCAAAGCGCAACTCTCCCCTCCAACGTTCCCTCACACAGGTCGCTGTCATCCAGTGAAGACGGCCCCAGCGGCCACTCCAGTTGCTCCGACGGGGAGCTGGCTCGGAACCTGCAGGATAGCGTCAAGCACCGCATCCTCTACCTCTCGGAGCAGCTGCGGGTGGAGAAGGCCAGCCGGGATGAGAACACTGTGGGCTACCTCAAGCTGGTGTCCAAAGCCGACCGGCACCGGGCGCTGCACATCCGGCAGGCCTTTGAGAAGGTGAACCAGCGCGCCTCTGCCACCATCGCCCAGATAGAACAAAGGCTCCGCCAGTATCACCAGCAGCTGCAGGAGCTGGAGGAGGGGTGCCGGCCGAAGGGCTTAGTGCTGAAGGCCAAAAGAAGCCTGGACAATTGTGAGCAGCCAAATGAGAGGGTTCCATTTTTAGAGACCCCCAAGTCAGGCAGGGAAGATGACCTGGCCACCAGTCTGTCCAAGTTCACCAGGCTCTTCACTCTGGGCAAGTTCCCTGAGACAAAGCGGGCAGTCTGGCATGAGCTCCTTGTGCAGAAGATGAGGGAGGAGCTGATGGAGGTCAAGAAGCAGCACCTCAGCCTCCAGGTGCCCTGTGAGGATCTAAAGGAGAGGTACCTGGCGGACCTGCAGCAGTCACTGGAGGTCCTGCAGGAGGAGAAGTGCAGGTAAGGCCGCCCCTCCCCCTGGGCTCTGGGTGAAAGGAAGCCTGGGAAATGAGCTGGGAGAGGCAGGTGTCGGGGGGGAGCACGGGTCTGTTGATGAGGTATTGATTCGGGCCACAGGTGAGGTGGATGGCCTTCCTCCTGTGGCCTCACGTGGTCCTTATGTGCTCTGTTGGCAACAAGGCCAGGCTGGTCCTGCGGGGTGCTGGCAGGTGCGTGGGACCCAGAGGCAGTCGTCTCTGACTTCATGGTGCGTTGGTGGCAATGGACACTCTCGCTCACTGAGGAGACCGCCTGCCATCCTTGTCAGCTCGACTGCGGCTGGACTCTGGACTGGTATGGCCTTGCTGGCCCAATTCGGGCTCTCCTTACCTGGCTCATAGCTAAGATTGGGCACGAGATCAAGCAAAAAAAACCCCAAACCTGTTGCCGTTGAGTCGATTCTGACTCAGCGACTCTCTAGAACAGACTAGAACTGCCCCATAGGGTTTCCAAGGAGCATCTGGAGATTCGAACTGCTGACCTTTTGGTTAGCAGCCAAGCTCTTAACCACTGCGCCACCAGGGCACAAGATCAGGTATTGGATATTCAGAAAATGCCTGCTTCCTGGTGAACTCTTTCTCTCCATTGTGCACTGGATCGATTTGATTTTAGTTGAAGACAAGGCTAGGGCCCACCAACAGGGAAAAAATCCAACCAGAAGATTTCAGAAGGCTTCCCTGCATTCCTGTTTGGACCCTTCTCTGGGCGCCCTCCTCCATCCCGGGTCCAGTACTTCCCGGGACTCTAATTCTTACAACGACCTTGCAAAGGACAGAGCTGCTCATTTCCATGAGACCAGAGTCAGCATTTTTCTGCAAATCAGAACTCTGCCATCTCTTCAGTACCCACGTGTATGTGGGCGAGGAGACGAGTGGGAATCGCTCTTCTGTTCTCCCAGGGAACCCTTAGCAGCGTTTACACTGCTTGCAAAGCCAGAAAGGGCAGTTACAGCTCATGACTGGACCGCACATTCGCTAGATAACCCATCAGAGTCGCAGGCTTTTTTGGGAGCTTATTTTCACAGGACGTGACAATACAATCTAAAATCTCGGGAACATTTCCAGGGTCAGGTTTATATAAGCAAGAACAGAATGTGATAACAGTTCCGAATCTCCGCACACATTTTCATATTGCGCAGGACAAGACTGTCTTGCTTGGGGAAGCTCTTAACCCTTCATAAAGCAGAACCTTTCCACTGAAGTAACTGCAGGGGCGCAGGTGCCCCCTTCCTTGCTCTTGTACCACGTGGGGCTTCTAGGATTTCCAGTAGTTTGTTATAGTTGTTAGTCTGTCCTGACTAATATATCTTATAAGCAAAAAAGCAGGTCCGTAGAGTGCAAGTTTGCTAGGAGAAATGAAGAAGGGGCTGCAGATGATCTGAGGTAACAACAGTGAAAACAAGGAGCACATGGCGTTTTTCTCGTGGGGTATTCAGACACTCACTTCGCAGATTGGGGGAAACGCTGAGAGAGAGACCAACTTGTTATATTAGGTGAAGGGTACGTGGGATTTTGTGAGACTTTTTTTTTTCTTCAACACTCTGCCTTCTTTTCCTTATTTGATTGTCTGATAATATTTGATGTGCTTAGCATTCCATATTCTTCCAACACTGCCTGGCTTTGGCTCCTGGGCAACCCACCGTCCTGGTGAGTTTCCTTCCCTTCTCCGTCCCTGACACTTGCCCCCGCTCCCCAGGGTCCCTCACTTTGCATGTCACGGAGGGTGAACCCACTGCACATGCGCTGCTTGGCCACTCTTACATCCATTTGTCCGTCTCGGACTTTGCCTCCAAGTTGCAGACCAGCAGGTTCAACCTCAATTTTCCAAAAGCCAATTCTCGGAAATGATCAGTTAAGAATATGCTCTTCTGAAAAAAATGATAATATTTAGGACAGTTTGTATTGGAGAGGTTGGTTTTCACAGCTCTGGAAGATGTAGTAGCATTTGGGTTGACTGGTTTTCATTTTGTCTTCATAAGAGCATTTTCCAGAGTGTTCCATTTGAATCTGTGATTGTAGGAGCTGGGCAGAGAGGGGTCCTTGCTAGAGGATGACATGGGGAGGGGATACAGCCCTCCACAAGGAAACTGGGTGGCAGAGAGGAGAGGAGACTGAGAGAATATTCATATGAAAATTGTGTCTATTCATATTTTCTTTTTCAAGAACCTATTCAAGCATGTATTACTATATTCTTATAAATGCATTAACAAAGAATCTATTCATTGAGTATTCAGTTTCGTGAAGAATGTTTTCACGAATATGTATTTGAACATAGGAACTTGAGTATTCTCGTGGCTAGGTCCTTCATGTAAATAAGAAGATAGGAATGAGGAGTCTATGATCAGGGTGGATACCTGCTGTCTCCCCCTCTCAGTGGGCAGTAGCCTGGGCCAAGTTGTCGTCTGACTCCCTTCTTAACAGAGATCTGGGGCAGAGGCAAAGAGAAGATTGCTTAAAATGCCATTACGAGCTGGCTTTCGATGAATTGGCTTTCAACAAGGGAATGTTCATCTCGGTTGCCTAGTGGAGATCTACTCCCTGTGGATGTCACTCAAGTCCTCATAGCATGACCAAACCAAGTGCGTAGGCTTTCCTTGAAAGCCTGCTCCTTGTCTTGTACCCCAGCTCTGTGAGTGGCACTGCTGTTTGCACAATTGTCCAGGCCAGGAGTCAGCAAGCATCTTCAGCCCCACCTTTGCCTCTGTCTCCGAAAGCCATAGGGCAGCAGGCAGCAGGCTCTCCCTTCTGTGTTGCTCTCAGGAACCTTTCCTCTTCTCCAGCATCACCGCCGCCGCCTGGGCTCTTCCCTGAAGGCTGCTGCCAGAACCTCCTCACAGCCGCCTGGCCTCTGTCTGTCTGTGCTGCCCTTCACCATGCCCAAAGGAGGGATTTCACAAGTTTTTCTTTATGAAGTATTTCAAACACAAGGTATACAACCCCTGTATACCCACCCCAGGTTACTCAGACCTTAACATTTGCCACATTTGCTTCAAATCTTTTTTGTTTAAGAAATAAAACTTTAGTAGAAAATTTGGTTGACGCTCTCTCATTACCACTTCCCAACCTTATTTTCAAACGAATGTTCTTCCGCTCTCCTCACGCTCTTCAGTTTGCTGTTTACTGTTCCTGCGCATGTTGTTATACTTCTGTGCTTACATGTCCAGCCGCGGACAACGTGGAGTGGTGTTGGACTTGTGTGTGTGTGTTTTAACAGCTCTATTGCGGTGTAATTTACAGACCATAAAATGCACCGTGGAAAATGTACGTTTCCGTGATTTAAAGTAAGTGACTGAGTTGTGCAACCATCACCACCATCCATTTTTGTTTGTTTTTTAATAACAGCTTTATTGAGATATAGTTCACATACCATAAAATTCACCCTTTTAAAGTGTACAGTTCAGTGGCTTTTAGTATATTCACAGAGTTGTACAACCATCACCACTATCTAATTCCAGAACATTTTCATCACCCCCAAAAGAGACCCCACACCCATTAGCAGCCACTCCCCATCTCCCCCTACACCCAGCCCTGGCAACCACTAATCTGTTTTCTGTCTCTATGGCTTTGCCTATTCCGGACATTTCATGTCAATGGAATCACACAGTATGTGGCCTTTTGTGACTGCTCAGTCCCTATAATTAACAGATTCTCGTGGAGTAACTACTGCATGCCAAACACAGGTGCTGGGGATCTATATGGAATATAACAGTGTACACAGAGAGTTTAGATTTGAATTTCTACTACTTCTAGTCTAGAGCCTTTTTTGTAAAGCTGTTACAAAAAAGTATTTATAAGATATGTATGAATATGTATATGTCATCTGGCCACCTGCGGTAGGGGCCCATGAATAAGAGGTGCCCCCGAGTCCTTATAGCCAACAGCATTAGGTGCTCATAGTCCGGCTACAAAACCCACCCACCTACATGCTCTAGGGAACAGGGACACGCCTTCCTCCTGGACACTCGGGGGCAGCCGTCAGCCCCCTGCCTCGCTCAGAGTGTGTCCCCCTGCTGCAGCCAGATGCCTGTGCCTACACCAATCACCCATGCCTGTCTAGGACAGTAAGTGAGCGCCTACACCACACACTTGGTGGCTACCTACCTGGGCACCTGAGCTGAATCCATACAGGAGGAGTGGGCAGACTCCTGAGCTCACATACCTAGTAACAGATCTAACCACCTGGTGACAGGACATTAGAGCTTCAAAGTTGCCAATGACCAAGCTAGCTCATATGAGCAGCCTATTTGGGCATATCAAAACAAAACGAAGCTAGGAAAAAGTAAACAACCATAAAATAAATATAATAACTTATTGATGGCTGAGAGACAACAGTCAATATCAAATCACATAAAGAGACAATCCATGATGGCTTCAGCAAGCTCCCAAAATAAAGAATCTAGACATTTTCCAGAGGAGGAAAATTTCTTGGAATGACCGGAGGGCAGAATACAAAAGATTAATATACAGAACTTGTCAAGAAATTGGGAAGGAAATTAAGCAAAACGCAGAACACACAATAGAGGAAATTAAAAAGATTAGAGAAGAGCATAATGACAAATTTAACAGGCTGCAAGAATCCATAGAGAGACGCAATCGGAAATCCAGAAGATTAACAATCAAATTTCAGAATTAGACAACTCCATAGAAAGTCCTGGGAGCAGAATTGAGGCAATGGAAGTCAGAATTAGTGACATTGAAGATAAAGCCCTTGACACCAACTTATTTGAGGAAAAATCAGATAAAAGGATTTTAAAAAATGAAGAAACCCTAAGAAGTATGTGTGATTCTATCAAGAGGAATAACCTATGAGTGATTGGAGTACCGGAACAGGGAGGGATAACAGAAAATACAGAGAGAATTATTGAAGATTTGTTGGCAGAAAACTTCCCTGATCTCCTGAAAGATGACAAGATATCTATCCAAGATGCTCATCAAACCCCACATAAGGTAGATCCCAAACGAAAGTCACCAAGACATATTATCATCAAGTTTGCCAAAACCAAAGATAAAGGGAGAATTTTAAGAGTGGCTAGGGATAAACGAAAAGTCGTCTTCAAAGGAGAGTCAATAAGAATGAGCTCCGACTACTCAGCAGAAACCATGTAGGCAAGAAGGCAATGGGATGACATACATACAGCCTTGAAGGAAAAACGCTGCCAGCCAAGAATTATATATCCAGCAAAACTGTCTCTCAGATAAGATGGCAAAATTAGGGCATTTCCAGATAAACAGAAGTTTAGGGAATTTGCAAAAACCAAACCAAAATTACAAGAAATACTAAAGGGAGTCCTCTGATTAGAAAATCAGTAACATCAGATAACAACCCAAGACTAGAACACAGGACAGAGCAACCAGATATCAACCCAGATACGGAAGTCACAAAAGGAAATCAAAGCTAAAACACTGAAAATAGGGAAACAGATGTCAATATGTAGAAGATGACAACATTAAAACAAGAGGGACTTAAAAAATGTAGACATAACTTTTTCATATGGAGAGGAAGTCAAGGCGATGTAAAGAAATAAAAGACTGATATAAACTTAGAAAAATGGGGTAAATATTAAAGTAACCACAAAGGAAACTAGCAATCCTACAAGTCAAAATAAAAAACTAGAAAAATACAAAGACTCGGCAAACACAAAATCAACACCAATGAAAAAGACGAAAAGAAAATACATAAAGAAAAACGACCTAGCACAGAAAATTAAGTGGAACGAAGAAACTCTGAACAACACACAAAAAAAAGACATCAAAATGACAGCACTAAACTCGTACCTATCAATAATTACGCTGAATGTAAATGGACTAAATGCGCCAATAAAGAGACAGAGAGTGGCAGATTAGATAAAAAAAACACGATCCGTCTGTATGCTGCCTACAAGAGACACACCTTAAAGACACAAACAAACTAAAAGTCAAAGGATGGAAAAAAATATATCAAGCAAACAACACTCAAAAAAGAGCAGGAGTGGCAATATTAATCTCTGACAAAATAGACTTTAAAGTAAACTCCACCACAAAGGATAAGGAAGGACACCATATAACGATTAAAGGGTCAATACACCAGGAGGACATAACTATAGTAAAATATATATGAATATAGGGCTGTGCGTGTGTGTGAATGACATGCGTTTAGGGTGCTCCCAGGAAGACCTGGAGGAGAAGGTAAGGTTTGACTGGAATTTGGAGAGCGAGGAGGAAGGCGAATGTGAGTTAGACTCTCGTCTGGATGGAGGAAGGCCCACCGTCAGCACAAGCTCCGGGCAAAGGACTGAGGGAGGATTCCTTTCTCTTTTGTCCCCAAGACAACAGTTGATGGAAGAGCAGGTGAATGACCACCTACAGGGGTACCTGGATGAGATTTACCACCTCAAACAGAATCTAGCCTGCACTGAAGAGAAAATGGCCTACCTGTCCTATGAGAGAGCCAAGGAAATATGGGTGAGAACCTCCACGGGTGGGGAGGCTGGCAAGACAGGGACAGTGGGTTCAAGGGCAACACTTTCATGGATCTCAGAGCTTGCGGTGTCCAATCTTTATGCCCACGTTCCACGTCCTATGACCCAGCTTGGCTTGTTTGGTAACAGGAGGGTGGTTCTCACTCTGGAGGCTGCCTCAGAACCACCTGGAGGGCTAGCTAAAAAGCAGATCACTGGGCCCTGCCCAGAGTGTTGGACTCGGTAGATCTGGGGTGAAGCCTAGCAAGTGCCTGGGGACCACCCTTTGAGAATCGCTGCTTCAGGCCATGGGTCACTAAGCACGTGGTGAAGTGCCTCCCCCCCACAACATGTCAATGAGTTAGATTCACTCTCTTCCGTGCCCTGTCCTTGGTTGTCTCACAGCCAGATTCTCAGTGACTGAGAACCTGGATGTGAGAGTGAGGCCAACTCAAAGGATCCCAAGATGGGGCCCACGGCAGCAGGTTTCTTCCTCTTCTCTGGATGCTCTGTAATTTCTTGATTTCCCTGTTAAAATAGTCAACTCAACAATATTTGCAGGGCACCCCTTAGGAACTCACTGAAATGGCCATAGGTTCGTTCTGACCCTGGAGTGTGTCTGTGTGTGTCACTTGCAGGAGGTCTTGGAGACTTTCAAGAGCCGGATAGCCAAGCTCGAAACCCTCCAACAAATGGCCCAACTGGAGACGGTAGAGAAGCTCAGAAACTGTCCACAGGAATTCCTGTTCAAGTTCATCAGCCTACTCCTCACCTTGGTCACCATCCTCTTGGTCTTCGTCTCTACTGTGTGTGCCTGCCCCTGGCTCCTTGTCAAGACGCGCCTGCGCGCATGCACCTTCCTTGTGCTGATAGGGCTCGGGGCACTGGCCTGGCAGAAGTGGCACGCCATCCCCACCACCGACTGGCAGGCCTGGGTCACCTCTAAGTGGACACACTATGCCAAGGACCCCAAGCCTCTCTCAGAGGGAACATAAGGGCCAGGAAGGCCACATGCAGGAGTTTTCTAGCTCCCTTCCCCTTCCTGGGTGTCGACGGCATCCAGTGAGCCCTCCAAAGATAGCTTGTCTTCAGCCCTCCCTTTCGGAGTCCATTACAATGAGCCTGGTGAGATTTTCACCCAGCGATGCCCAACTGCCTCGCACTTTCATCCTCCACAACCCTTCAACGTCACCTGTAGAAACGAGGGCTGGAAAACATTAAAGTCTACCAAGTGCAGGGGTCCTTGGTCCTTCCCTGTTTACCCTCCGTCCTCCCCTTTAAGACCAAATGGCTGAATACCCAGAGGCTAAAAAGGTGCCCCAAATGGCCTTGGCCGTCTTTGTGATATTGTTTGGGGAGGGGGGAGACAAAGACAAACTACATTTATTTCCCAGGGGTGGAGGAGAAGAAGGGGGGGGGAGGAGTGGTGGCCAAAGCCCTGGTGGGTGGGATGGGGGGTTATTTTTTCCTGTAGGAGGCAGAACCCTTTTTTGTCAGGGCTGGGGAGACTCATGCAGGTGACACCGAAGAGACAGATGAGGCCTCTGTTTTGGAGGCGCTAGAGAGTTCAGAACCATCATCCACCTTCTTCCCAAAAAGCTGCAATATGCAGTTGCGAAACTGGAAGGACAGAAAGTGTTAGTCAGCAGAGTAGGATGGGCCAGTATATTAGGATACAGGTAATGTCCAGAGGGCCAATGAAAATGAAAGAAATCCTCAATGAGATAGATTGACTGAATAGCCAGAACAATGGACTCAAACACACCAACCGTCATGAAGATGGCACAGGACTGGGCAACGTTTCGTTCTGTTGTACATATGGTTGCCATGAATTGGAGCTGACCCGATGGCAACTAACAACCACAGGAACAGGTAATGCTTGTGGCGTTCTAAGGAAGGTATTGGTTAAGTGCTACCTTGATGACCCCAAACCTTCTCTTCCATCATTCAGAGGCCTAGACAGAGACAGGAGCAAGGCGTAGGCTATTCCTTGCATTCAAAGATGGTCTGTTTCTTATGGCTCAGTCATCTAATCCATTTAATTTAGCAACTGATGGGGACCAGGCATGATGGGGGCTCACACATTGAGTGACCACCTCCAGAAGGTCTGGGAAGAAACTCAGGCATTTCTATTCCGTCAATTTTGGGGAAAGGTGAGGACTAGGTCAACAACAGTGTAACCACCTACCTCATCTCTTCAGCCAAAAGAGACTCTTAGCAAGAGGTTTTTCTCTCTGCTGGCTGACCCCTAAGGACATCTCGGCAGTAGTAATTTCTCAGCTTATGTCTGGTATCATCACTGAACCAACCACAGTGCTTTGAGAACCCAGACCAGAGGTGTTTCCTGAATATCCCAGGCCTATTCTTGACGAGAAGACGAAGTATTATAATGACATGGGCAAAGACTTGGAGATAGAAAACCAAAAGGGAGGAACAAGCTCAGCATTTCTCAAGCTGAAAAGAACTGGAGAAAAAATTCAAGCCTCGAGTTTTGAAGCCTTGCAGTATTGAAGGATTCTATGGGGAAAATATTAAACGTCACAGGAAGCATCAAAAGAAGATGGAAGGAATACACAGTCACTGTACTAAAAAGAATTGGTCGACATGCAACCATTTCAGGAGGTACCATATGATCAGGAACTGATGGTACTGAAGGAAGAGGTCCAAGCTGCAATGAAGCCATTGGCAAAAGACAAGGCTCCAGGAGTTGACAGAATACCAATTGAGATGTTTCCACAAATGGATGCAGCGGTGGAAGTGCTCACTTGTCTATGCTAAGAAATTTGGGAGACAGCTACCTGGCCAACCGACTGGAAGAGATCCATATTTATGCGTATTCCCAAGAAAGGTGATCCAACCTAATGTGGAAATTATCAAACAATATCATTAAATATCACACGCAACTAATATTTTGCGGAAGATCATTCCAAAGCGGCTGCAGCAGTATATCGACAGGGAACTGCCAGCAATTCAAGCTGGATTCAGAAGAGGACGTGGAAAGAGGGATATCATTGCTGATGTCAGATAGATCCTGGCTGAAAGCAGAGAATACCAGAAAGATGTTTACCTGTGTTTTATTGACTATGCAAAGGCATTCGACTGTGTGGACCGTAACAAATTATGGATAACATTTCAAAGAATGGGAATTCCAGAACACTTAATTGTGCTCATGCAGAACCTGCACATAGACCAAGAGACAGTTGTTTGAACAGAACAAGGGGATACTGCGTGGTTTAAAGTCAGGAAGGGTGTGCGTCAGGGTTGTGTCCTTTCACCATACCTATTCAGTCTGTATGCTGAGCAAATAATCTGAGAAGCTGGACTATGTGAAGAAGAATGGGGCATCAGGATTGGAGGAAGACTCATTAACAACCTGTAATATGCAGATGACCCAACCTTCCTTGCTGAAAGTGAAGAGGACTTGAAGCACACTTACTGGTGAAGATCAAAGACCACAGCCTTCAGTATGGATTACACCTCAACATAAAGAAAACAAAAATTTTCACAACTGGACCAATAAGCAATATCATGATAAACAGAGAAAAGATTGAAGTTGTCAAGGATTTCATTTTACTTGGATCCACAATCAACACCCATGGAAGCAGCAGTCAAGAAATCAAAAGATGCATTGCACTGGGCAAATCTGCTGCAAAAGACCTCTTTAAAGTGTTGAAAAGCAAAGATGTCACTTTGAGGGCTAAGGTGCACCTGACTCAGGCCATGGTGTTTTCAGTCGCCTCATATGCATGCGAAAGCTGGACAGTAAATAAGGCAGACTGAAGAAGAACTGACACCTTTGAATTGTGGTGTTGGCGAAGAATATTGAATATACCATGGACCGCCGAAAGAATGAACAACCCTGTCTTGGAAGAAGTACAGCCAGAATCCTTAGAAGCAAGAATGGCAAGACTTCGTCTCACATACTTTGGACATGTTATCAGGAGGGACCAGTCCCTGGAAAAGGACATCAGGCTTGGTAAAGTAGAGGGTCAGCCAAAAAGAGGAAGCCCCTCAACGAGATGGATTGACACAGTGGCTGCAACAATGGGCTCAAGCATAACGATTGTGAGGATGGAGCAGGATGAGGCAGTGTTCTGTTCTGTTGTACATAGGGTCACTATGAGTTGGAACCGACCTGACAGCACCTAATAACAACAACATTCTTGACCATCTCCAGCTCTCTCTATCATTAAAATGCTCAGAAAAGACCTGTTGAAATTAATGACATAAGAAGTGGTCTGAACAGCAGAATTGATTCAGCTGAACAGCTGGCAGACAAGGCTGAGGAATTCACCCCTCAAATTAATTCAACATCGATGTATCAGGCACCCAGTATGTGCCAGATAGTGTGCTCTGGGTGCTGGGGATACAACAATGAACAAAAAGCGCAAAATCCCATGACTTCATGGAGCTTACATTCCAATAACTTCTCTTAGAATACAGCAGAAAGATCGAGCAATGTGGAAAGTGGGAAAGCAAAGTTCGAAAACCTGGAGAGGTCCAGAAGTGCAGACATCTGTCTGGAAGGGGAGAATGGAGAGAATCAAGTAAAGACAGCATTTGGCAGGAACAAAGTCTAGGGCATCAATGTGTCAACAATGCAGTCCCTGGGAATCAGTGGTGGGACTGGTCCTATTTGATATTTAAAAATTTCCAGAAAGAATGAACGCTTAATGAACTCTGCAGATACACCTGGCTGAGGCCCTTTGTGTGAGTCGGGTGCCAAGCCTGACGGCATCAAGAGAAAAGCCGATTGGAAGGGCAGGCCCTGGGCTGGCGCTTAAGCTTCCCACAAGGGATGGATTGGTATGACAAAAGGTGTGTGGCCCTGGGCAGGGTATTTCTTGACCCATGGACTTTCCTGGTCACCATCAAGTCACATTGCAGCTCCTCCTTAATGAAGTGGACATGATAGAGTCAAGGAAGAAAGGGCTACTTGTACTTACAAGAGGATGAGCCTTAGGTGGCCACCTGTAACCTACCAAGAGGACCTGGGAGTCATAGGCAGTTTGCCGCTGGGGCCCAATGTGTCAGCTAATGATGGCTTCCATCAGCAAGACCTTGAACTAATGCACAAACTCCTGAGAGTCAAGTCAGCTCAGCCAGAGAAGGGCTCATTCTGGTGCTTGTAGGAAGCCAAGCTCAAAAAGTTAAGCTTCTAAAATTGGGAAGAGGAAGGTTTAGAGATGAGTTGTCTATAAAACCAAGAGGGGCCTAACTAGGGTAAAGGTAGACATGTTGACTAAATCCTGGGGTGTTTGCATTCTAGAACATTGCCTGACACGTGATGACAGTAGTTCTGTCACCGACAAGGAAAGAGTACATGGCACGTAGACCATTAAGGGCAACGACTACCCTCAAACTGAAGGTATAAAAGGATTCCAGAAGGGTGTAACGAAGCCTACTGCTAATGAGTAGATCGACGTATGTCTGCGTCTGGGTCACATGCTTAACTCTTTAAAGTCATTGTCCTGGAGGGTCATTATCAGCCCCACCCCCCAGCTTCTCTGTGGGCTCTTCATCAGAGATGTGATTCCAAGTAGGAGCAATCATTGGTCTATTCTAGGGTAGACTTCAAATTTGATCTGCTGATAGCATTACCTACCTGCCGGTTCATAAAGACATAGATGATGGGGTTGTAGATAGTGGCACTTTTGGCAAAGTAGGCTGGCAAGGCTGCCACCAGAGGGTGGAAGGCATAGCCAGGGTGGGCAGCAGCAAAGCATGCGAAGAAGGTGTAGGGCCCCCAGCAGAAGCAGTAGGCGAGGATCATTACCAGCACCATGCGTGTCACCTCCTTCTCAGCCTTCTGGGTGGACTCAGATTCTTTCTGCTGTTTCGCCACCTGGAGGAGAGAACATAATGCCCAGCCACAGTGAACTGGCGATGGCATCCAGAGCTCTGTGTTTGAAGGGACTTGGCGTGGCTGTGACTTGGTCAGTGAGTCAGGGAGGCAGCGAGAGGTGGCCCAGGGAGAAGGACTCTTGGGGAGAAG